ATGACAATGGTAGCCGTAAAATAGAAGAGCACCTCTCTTTTGGTATTTGAATTTCCAATGCAATTTGAGCAAAGTGTTTAAGAATATTAAATTAAGAACCCCGGGGGAGAAGACACTTTAAACGTAAAAAGTGGAAAATTTTAATCAAAAAGTTAATAAGGATTGTTGTGGGTGGCGATGTCCTTCGAATATTAAAAAAAAATACATTCAATAGGTATAAAATCAATCGTTATTTATTCCCAACAAGTAAAACATGATATTGGCGTACTCACGTTATCCAGATCTCTAGCTGGTTTTCTACACATACGACCTCTAGAGAGTATTCGATATTTAAGGTACTCTCAAAACGGTTCTACATGTTTGTAGGACCCTTAGAAGGCGTTCTAAATAGAAAACGCATAGAAGGCATGTTATATAAAGGATATCCCTTGTTCTGTATATAGAAAACCCCTGAAGGGCTTCTACACAAATATTCATAATCAGCATATAATTTTAAGGGGGCTTAACGATGTTCGTCTGTCTGTCAATTAAAATCACAGTCCACATTATTTGACTTAGAGCTAAAAAAATTTTAGAATAACCGCCATATAACGGTACCCCCCAATATTCGGTACTTTGATGATTTTCGCCACATTTTTTCAAGATTTTTTTTTTTAAAAAACTGGTATTTGTAGTTCTTAATGTGTTCTAGCCCCAGTGGCGAAACATTGTATGTATAGGTCCAAGTTTTTATATAACCCCCATATAACGGTACCTCCGGATATTTGGTACTTTGATTTATTGATTTTTGCCACATTTTTCCACAGAATTATTTAAAAATTGGTATTTGTAGTTCGTAATGGGTTTTAGCTCCGGTGGCGGAGTAGTACATATTGGTTCATAGTATATATAGGACCACGTTTCGGTATAGCCCCATATAACGGATATTCAATATTTTGATGATTTTTCCCACATTTTCCACGGATTTGTCCAAAAATTAGTATTTGTAGTTTGTAATGGGTTCTAGCTCCTGTGGCAGAACATAGTATGTATAGGTCCATGTTTTAGTATAGCCCACACATAATGGTACCTCCCGATAGGCGGTGTTTTGAAGATTTTTGCCACATTTTCCAGGGATTTGTCTAAAATTTAGTATTTGTAGTTCATAATGGATTCTAGCTCCGGCGGCAGAATATTGAAAATTTAAGTTCACATTTTTCTATAGCCCGCACACATTTTTCACATTTTCCGATACCCACCGCTACTCGGCATTTTGACAATCCACATTTACCCACGAAATTGTTTTTAATTTGGTATTTAAGAAGATTTGGTAGATGACAATCCTTAAAGTATCAAATTGTCTATAGAGCTTCCCGTTTTGGTATGGTCCCCATATAACGGCCTCACCCTTTTTATTATATTTTTTAAAAGTTTAACAGCATTATCCAAACGGTCTTATATTTGTAGTTTAAAATGGAACTCATTTGGATTCAGATACTTTTGTGTAAATATATATTTTTTTATCCAAAGGTAGAGGGTTTTAAAAGTCCGACCCTGGCGAATTTAATATTATATACTTGTTATACATGATCCACGTTATCCAGACTACTTATATATATTATCCAAGTTATCCAGACAATTTTAATACTCTATCCCGAATATCCAGACTAATTATATACATTATCCATGTTATCCAGACAACTTATATACATTATCCACATTATCCAGACTACTTATATACACTATCCAAGTTATCCTGAAAATTTTAATACATTATCCACATTATCCAGACAACTATATACATTATCCACGTTATCCAAACTAATTATATACCTTATCCTTGTTATCCAGGCTACTTGTATACATTATCCACATTATCCAGAAAACTTTATATATTATCCAAACTACTTTTATTCATTATAGACTTTGTCCAGACTACTTTTACACATTATCCAGAATATTTTTATACATTATTCACGTTGTTTAGACTACTTATATATATTATCCATGTTATCCAGGGTATTAAATATATATTATCCAGACTATTTTTATACATTATCCACGTTATCCAGACTATTTCTATGCATTATCACATTATCTAGACTACTTTTATACCTTATCCACGCTATTAATTTTTGTATGAATTGTTCACGTTATTCATACTATTTTTATACATTATCTACTTTATTCAGACTATTTTTAAACATTGTCCGCGTTATCCAGACTACTTATATACATTATCCAGAATATTCAGACTATTTTTATACATTATCCACGTTATCAAGACAATTTTATACATTATCCAGACTACTTTTGTACATTATCCACTTTATCCAGACTACTTTTATACATTATCCACTTTATCCAGACTACTTATATATTATCCATGTTATCCAGGCTATTTATTATATTATACAGACTTTTTTGTACATTATCCACGTTATCCAGACTATTTATATATATCATCCAGACTACTTATAGACATTATCACGTTATCCTAAGTACTTACATACCTTATCCAGACTATTTTTATGTATTATTTTTTTTTTATAAAATGTTCACGTTATCCAGACTATTTTTATACATTATCCACTTTATTCAGACTATTTTTAAACATTATCCGCGTTATCCAGACTACTTATATACATTATCCAGAATATCCAGACTATTTTTATACATTTTCAAGAAAACTTTATTCATTATCCACGTTATCCAGACTATTTTTATTCATTATCCACCTCGTTCTGACTTCTTTTATACATTATCCACGTTATCCAGACTATTTTTATTCATTATCCACGTCGTTCTGACTTCTTTTATACATTATCCACGTTATCCAGACTATTTATATACATCATCCACGTTAACCAGAGTATTTTTATACATTATCCACGTTTTCCAAACTTGTTGTATATCTTATCCAGACTATTTTTATATCTTATCCACATTATCCAGATTACGTATATACTTTATCCACGTTATCCAGACTATCTTTATACATTATGCACTTTATTTAGACTATGTTTAAACATTATCCACGTTATCCAGACTACTTACATACATTATCCAGAATATCTAGATTATTTTTATACATTATCCACGTTATCCAGACAACTTTATACATTATCCAGAATATCCAGACGACGTTTATTCATTATCCGCTTTATCCAGACTACGTTTACTCATTATCCGCTTTATCCAGACCACTTTTGTTCATTATCCACATTATCCAGAGTATTTTTATACATTATCCATGTTATCCAGATTAGTTTTATCCTTTATCCACGTTATCCAGAGCATTTTTATACATTTCCCACGTTGTCCAGACTTGTTGTATACCTTATCCAGACTATTTTTATATCTTATCCACGTTATTCAGATTACTTATATACTTTATCCACGTTATCCAAAGCATTTTTGTACGTTATACAGACTATTTTTATACCTTATCTAATTATCAATACTATTTACATACCTTATCCGTGCTATCCAGGCTACTGCTGTACCTTATCCAAGTTTTCCAAATTATCCAGATTTTTTATATATCCTATCCACGCTTTCCCGATAGTATATACGCCTTGTCCATACTATTACTATTGACACCTTATCCCTATGTCATACGTAACTTAGCCACTTTATTTTTATGGCATAAATATGTCATGTAGAGTTCATCTAGTTCAAACTCTAATTATATCCTCAAGCAGAGGGCTACGAAAGGTTTCTATAAGGTTAATAGTCCTCAGGTCTATTTTAACGAAATCCGTTTTAAACATTTGTCCGTAAGTCCCCCTCTCAGAGCGCACGATAAAGCTCGAAGGCAGTATCCGATTTTGAGACATGGTAATATAATTAAGAAACATTGATCAAGTTCGAAGCTGTGCAATATTGATCCACTTTTTCTGGTACCTCACCCACAAGGTTCAAATTTTTACAAAAAAATGTATTAAGCGATAAGAGAACCCGATATTGTTCAAACTTGGCACATCGTAATGTTTTGATAAAACTAACACTGTCGTGGACAATGTTAGCCCATTCCTAGTAGCTGGCCTAAAAAGGTAAAAAAATAATAATAAAAATAAATCTCATAGTTTACGACATCGATGTCCGACTTTTTTCCACACCAAGTTCATCTCAATATTTTTGGATAAGTTAGAGCAAGTGTAAAAATTGTATTGATCGGTCAACTACTAGTGGCACCTACCGAAATTTCGAATAAAAAACATCAAATCCTTACTAAATACGATTTGAGATGGCTGTACCGTCCAGAATATAATTGGCCCAGAACAACACTGGCTTTCAGCTGCAATCGATGTGAAGTGAACTTCCTCACTTCGAAGACTTTCAGCCTTCTTCAATGTTCTCAACACCACTGTTTTCTGTATGATCTGAACTCCCAGTGAAATCATATGTTTTTACATTACCATTAAAAATCCATACCATTAAAATTCCAATCCCAATTTTTTTTCCAAACTTTCGAAGGTGTCTAACGGATTGGTTACTCATTACTATATTGAGTATTCAGATTGGAGATAATGAATACACTTCTTTTACCAAACAAAAGACTTCCACTGTTAGTTCTGTGGTCTGGAGATCTGTAGGCTTATAACGAAACCTGTAACATATACCGATTTACATTTCTATATAGGGGCAGAATCAATCTCATAAGGAAATTTCCACTATCTGCAATAACACTTTAATTAAAAATATTCATGAATTCTCCAGAGTATATTTTTTAGTTATCATCAAAATTTATTGATTTGTTTGGTATATGAAAACCGATTCTTCCTACATGTTATAATACAGGGGTCACCCTTTGCTTACATTTCAATTAGAATAATTAATACCCATTTCCCCACTAACACATATCTTCATTATGTTTATGACCATATCATATTTCGCCAATTTGAAAAAAACATAAATGAACATTACATTTTTATATTTGTTGTCATTTCAAATAACAAACAAAAAAAATTCCAACATTTTTTACAGATTTTTTGCTTTTCATATCTTTGCAGATAAAATTGTTTGTACAGATGTTGCCCCACAACACGAACAAGACCAGCACCGCCACTGCCGCCAACTTCCTCATCGACAGCGACAGTAACATCAAATCATTATTGTTGTCATCATCATTATTGGAACAAAACAACCTTCCAAAGCAAAGGTTGATAAATGTTACAGAAAAAACATAAATTTCAGTGTCGCAACTACTACTGAGTGTAAAGAAGATAAGATTTGAATGCTAGTTGTGCGTTGTCGCATATTTTGCGAAACGTTCGACAAAATTGAGGAGCAGGTAGATATATAACAAGGATACAAAATGCTAAAACGTTCCAAATCGAATCGTTCACAACGAACGAATCGCCGTTCTGCCAGTGGGAAGGTTCAACAACAACGTTTGGAGACGCTGGAGGATAGTAATCGGTGAGTTTTGTTGTTTATTTTTAATTTTTATTTTATAATAAGCTTTTTACTTCATTAACTCCATAATCTCGTGGCACTTAAAATACTTTTTCAAATGAAAAGATTCTAAGATTCTAATTTTTTCAAAATTTAACTTGCTCTAAATTTCACCAATTTCATATATTCACCTTCAATTTCAAATATTCACAAGTGGTATGTGTCTTTGCTTATTTCAAATGCTTTACAATTAAAATTTCGCGAAGCGACATCTACATGTCCAGTCTTAACTACAATACAAATGGTTGCAGGCGCAACTATGTTATAATATGTATATTCTTTTACAGGGTGACTATGATGTGTACTAACAAAACTGTTCTCATGTTGTTCTCTTTTTCAGGCACAGTGATGGAGACTCTTCCCAGTCATCAGCAGCGGCACCAGTATTTGTAAGTATTCTCATATTTCAGTTTAGATACAACCCTTCCAACATGTGTGACTACAAAACACATGTATGTTACAGCAGTAAGAAGAGTTGTTATATGAGTAATGGGAAGTATAGGTGTGGTGAGAATAGATTGACTTCAAACAACAACAGGGTACTCCATTATTTGTGCAGGTTTGAGGCTTAACTATTTAGAACATTTTCTTCTTTAGAACTTTGGTTCGTAGATTTGGTGCAAATAAATTTTGTAAATTACATGTATTCCCAGTATTACAGCACTACACCTCTTGCCATTAAAGAACAAGAAAAAAGATGTAAGTTCGGCCTGGCCTCCACCATTTGCAACGAATTTGGCAATTTTAAAAAAAATAGAATCCGTTAAAAATTCTGTTAATTTCTTAAAAATATCGAATGTAGCCGTAATATTAGGGTCAAACGACGAGGTGGACCTACATAATAGGCAACTTTTGTCATAAGCCATTACGAACTTCAATTACCAAATTTGAAACAATTGCGCTGAATAATATCGCTAACATCATCAAAATACCGAATATCGGGAGGTATCGTTATATTGTGGCTATACGAAAACGTAGACCTGCACAGACTATTTTCTGTCATAGGTATTCATTGCGAACTTTATATACCACATTTGAAACAATTGCGGTGAATATTGTCGCTTAATGGGGGCATACCAAAACGTGGACTTACATGACTCATTTTCAATATTTGACATTTGAGTTCGGAAGCCAGAGTATTTTCTACAGACGGACGCACATCGCTATATCGACATAGAATTTTATGCTGATCAAGAATATATATACGTTGTGGGGTCTAAAATGTATATTTCGAGGAGTACTATTGTAGAGGGTATAAAAAGGAAATATAATTCAGCATTCATTAGGATGATAACATTACACTGCACTATGTTTCAAATTCCATTTTTTTCTGACCAAAATCTATGGGAAACAAAATATTCGAAATAGAGTTAGAGTCTACTCTAAGAGTGATATCAAGAGGAACTAATAAGTTTGTTTGCTGATTTGAGTTTTCATGTATGTGTGTAGTATCAAACTATTGCTAAGTTGTTGCTAGCAATGTTACCAAAAAAAAACTAAAAAAATACTCGACTAGAGTAGAATCTGCTCAATTTCGAGCTAATTTTCAAAACGAGCAAAGCATGCAGCTGACGCTCGAATTCAAGTTGAAAGTGAAACTTACTAGTATTTCTTAATTCTGTTGAAATGGAATGACAAAGTATTCCTGATAGAGATTTGTAGCTGATTTATTATAAAAAAGACCTATGGAAAGGTTACCATCTTCTACAAATAGAAAACCTTTAAAATGGATAGACGGAATGCGTTTCTCAAGTATTCTATGGCCATAATCAGGACTATGAAGTTTGAGGTTAATTTTCTTGCAATCCAAGTCAAAGTCGAGAAAATAAATTGACTCCTTAACTGTTCTTACACAAATTTTCCATTGTTATCAACACCTTAGGTGATTTAGCCATTCTTGGAGGTAAAAATGATAAAAGCTGTATTTTTGTCAGAAGACTTCTTACTTCTGTGGTAAAAATACCTGTTAAAGGAACTTTGACAAGACGAAAGAAGACTTCCTAAAATTCTTCTATGACTAAAATACCTATTTTTGTTATTTTTTCGGAGAAAGCAAGTAAAAACATAATTTATGGCAGAATTGGGTATTCCTCAAAATCACTTTAAATTTGGGTATAGCCTTAAATTGAAAATGTAGCCCATTCAGTTGAAAATTTTGGCTAAGAACCTGCCAAATATTAGAAATTCAACAGCAGCCTTATATGAATATACCAAGGGTACTTTTACCCATTTTTTTTTTTTTTATCGAAAGAAGGCTTAATATTGACGACGTTTTTTCGATTATCGACATTATCAATAAATTTATTTTCTAAAATCTAAGCTAAAAATCTACTTTCGATTTTAAATTTATAAACCAAAGTCGAAACACTTGATTGAGATTTAAATTTTTTATATGTAGGTAAAATGGCTATTAAAAAATATCCTATTTTTTTTTCTTATTTGTTGACTCGTATAAAAATGAACATTCTAAAGAGATCTATGAACCCAAAATTGATTACAAAAAGTCGACTTTGAGATTACCCTAGGCAAACCTTTTAAAAATGAATGATTTTTGTCTAGAGAGTTTTTTTAAAAAAAAAAATCTTTAAAGTCGAACATTTTCGATCAGAAGTTCCTTGAAAATATTTATATAAAAATCCACGATTTTTTGTCAAGAGGTATTTATTTTTTTTTTTTAAATCCACGATTTTCTCTAAAATATTTTAAATATCAGGAGGACCTTTTTTAAATCCACAATTTCAAGTCAGAAGGTCCCTAATTTGTTAAAAAATCGTCCGACGGCCCGTTATTTTGTGTTTATACGATTTGCGTTTCTTTTTTAATTCCACGATTATTTGTCCTTGAAAAAATTTCTTTAAAAAAGCTACGAATTTTGCACTTTTCTTGATATTTCCTAAAAATTCAATATAATTGTCATTAAAAAAGAAATAATAATAAAAATCAATATTTTCGTTATTTGAAAAAAATCTCTTTAATATTTTCGATTCGCATTTAAAATTTCCTTGAAAAAAATATTTTTTTAAATCCACAATTTTAGTTATGAGGATTGTCAGAAGTTTTTGCAACTTTTTTAAATCCACAATTCCTGTCCCATAAGTTTTTTTAAAATCATTTTAAAACCCCAAGATTAAAATTTTTAATACCCTCCACCCATTGGGAGGAACTACAGAAAATGTAAAAAGCATTGAAAAATGGCATTACAATTTTAAAAATTCAGAAAATGTGTTGTTCCAATTATATATGTTGCTATACGAAAACGTGCACATACTTCCAATTATCTGCGTGAGAAAGCAGCGCATTTTCAATACGAAAAGTTCTGGAGACCAAATACACATCTGAGTAAAATTTGATCAATTATATAGTTCATTTCGTTCGGAAGTCATTGTGATTTCCACAGACAGACGCGCTGACGAACCTTGCTAAATCGACATAAAATTTGATGTAGGGCCTAAATTGTATATTTCGAGGTATTATAAACTGAATGATAAACTTAACATACCCTCCATACTATGGTAGAGGGTATCCAAGATTTTTGGCTAGAAGGTCATAATTTTAGATACATATAAAAATCCTCAAAATATTATCAATAGCAGATCTTGTCCGCATTTTAACTCTTAAATTATATCTTATCTTATTATCTTATCTTATTTCCGTTGAAATGTTATAAAGCGACAGAAGTTTGGATTTACATGATTTCCAAAATTTCCGAGATATCGGAAAAAAGTCGACCGATGTATTACATTTTAATATTTAATATAATAATTATATAAAATATAATAATTCACAATTTTGAACTCCTGTGGTGGAGGTACGACAGTTTTACTAATATTGAACATTTTCCCACTTGACCTAAATATGATATATTTTACTCTACCCTTTGTATTTTTTTTTGGGGGGGGGGGTGTACTAGGGGTACACATTTTCCCAGTAAAACATGTCACAATATGTATTAATCATACGTGTACCCTATACATCTCCCACATGTTGAAAACATTGCCGCCAAAATTTAATTTCCACTAATTGCCAATGTCATGAACATGGAATCCGTTTCTTCATCCATCTCCACTTCAATTAGCATTAATCATTCCCAAAATTCCTAAAACAACGGATTCCGTAACTCTTGGAAATTCTTCAAAATCCACTTAGGCATTCCATTTCATTCGATTGTGTCCAAATTAATTGCCAGTGATCTCGAGAAGAAGAATGAAACAACATGAAATGTAAAATATACCTAAAAATATCTTCCAAAAACTACTTATCTGCGGTTTATGATTGACTGGATTGTGCCACACATCGCTCACCACAACAAGACGAGGAAAACAATACACGGATACGACAACAATGTAATCTGGCTGCCAGTGTTGTTGCATCCGGACATTTTATGATGTCTGTTGTCTGTCACACACACAAGCACGCACAGCCAACCAAACATCATCGTGTTGTTGCACTTGTCATAAAATTGGGCATTTACATCAATTCTTTGGTTGCGTTCTTGAGGACTGCTACACGCAAACACACACACACACACACACATACACACACATTCGTTTGTCATCATGTTCTTATTTAGGTTAAATTAAAATCAACACGAATTCACGTTTTCTGGGCTCAGTTTTTTTTTATTGCTTTGCAGTTCATATTTTTTTTATTAATATTTCATTTAATTATTTTAGTGGCATTTAAATGTTGATTCATTATCTCGAATGGAGATAAGTAGAATTTGGAAGGGATTTGAATGCTAGATCAATTTTGAAGAGATGACCATTAAAATGTTGACCTTTTGTGGGGAGATTCCACAAGAAATGGACCAAAAATGGATCTCAAAACAATTTCTGAGGACCCAACTAGAGAATATTATTAATAAAAACTTTTCCTTCAAGCCGAAATTGTGCATTTTGAAGAGTATATTTTCATGAAAATACAAAATGTTAAAGTAAATTGAGTTTTTAAAAGACCGAAAATCTTGATTATTGGTTGATTTTTTTAAATGACATCATGACCAATAATCTTGGTTTTTTGGGAATTATTAAAAAAATCTTGGCTTTTTGGAGACAATACCTTGGATGTTTTCGAGGGACTCAAAAAATAGAAAATTGTAAATTTTTTGGAAATTATTTAAAAAACCGAAATGATTTTGATTTTTATACCCTCAGGCATATGGCTAGAGAGGGTATATATCATTTGATACGGCCCTCATCGAAATAACGGTTTTAGACTTTTTGGAACAAATCCGTTTCAGAACATTTGGAATCGATCTAGCAATGTCCGCCCGCATATATATTTAGGTCTGACAATATTGGATCTTTTCTTGAAGTCAAAATATATTCAAATAATCGAACATTGGCTGAGGGTATACATCTGTCGGCTAAGCCGACTGATACTTTTTAACTTGTTTAAATATTATTTCAATAACAAAAAATCATGAAATTAAACGTAATATGGACATTTTAATTCAAAATCTTGGATATTTAAGAAAATCATCTGAAAAAAGATTTTTATAAAAAAAAAATAATAATAAAAATGTCCCGACCATTGTGGGTTTAGAAATGACTTCCTGACAGGATATCTAGGATTTTTAAGATAATAATTTTTTTTGAAAAATTATTTAAAGTGTCGAACTCTCTCTCTCTCTCTCTCAAAAACTTATTTTTAAAAAATGTTGACAGAAAGTCGAATATTTTTAATAAAAGCACATTCTGACCGAAAATCTACAATTTCTGAGGTCCTCCTGACCGAAAATCGTGGCTTATTTTTAATATTTTCTCAAGGACCTAAATATTGTCAATTTTTTTCGAGGACCTCTTAGCAGTATCTGCAATTTCTTTTTTATTAAATGATTTCCTGGCGTTGATGTTTTAAGATTTTTTTGACTTCCTGACTGAAAATCTTTAGGAAGGACCTCTTAGGAAGCAAGGACCTCTGGACCGAAAATAGTAATTTTGAAAATAATTACTTTTTTATATTATTTTCAAGTAACAAAAAGTAGCATTTTTAGACAAATATTTTAAAGAACCTCCGAACAACTCAAGGAAATATTTTCCAACACATCCTTAAATTCTTGGGCCTTCCTGGTCGAAAAATTGTGTGTTTTTCCTTTTACACTCTCCACCATAGTAAGGAGGGTATATTAAGTTTGTCATTCCGTTTGTAACACCCCGAAATATACATTTTAGACCCCACAAAGTATATATATTCTTGATCAGCATAAAATTCTATGTCGATTAAGCGATGTCTGTCCGTCTGTGGAAATCACTCTAGCTTCCGAACAATATGAAGTAGGTTGATAAAATTTTACTCAGATGTGTATTATGTCTGTAGGACTTTTCGTATTGAAAATGGGTCATGAAGGTCCATGTTTTGGTATAGACCCCATATAATGGTACCTCCCGATATACGGTATTTTGGTGATTTAAGCCACATTATTCACCCGAAATATTTCAAACTTGGTATTTGAAGTTCGTAAAAGATGTTACAGCCTATGACAGAAAATTGTCTATGCAAGTCCACGTCTTCAATTTTGTATGCAGGTTCAGATCTTCGTATAGCCCCCATATAACGGTACCTCCCGATATTCGGTATTTTCATGATTTTAGCGACATTATTTACCGTAATTATTTTTCGTATTTGAAGTTCGTAATGGGTACTACACCCTATGACACAATTTTGTATGTGCGTATAGTCCCCATATAACGGTACCTCCCGATAGTCGGTATTTTGTCAATTTCGGCAACATTATTCACCGGAATCGTTCAATTTTCATATTGAAAGCTCTTAATGGGTTCTACAACTTATGGTAAATCGCATGCAGGTCCACGTCTTCGTATATGGAGGATATGACGGTACCTCCCGATACGCCGTATTTTCATGATTTTTGAGACATTATTCACCGTAATTGTAACAAATTTCGTATTTGAAGTTCGTAATGGGCACTATAGTCTATGATGAAAAATTTCGTATGCAGGCCTACGTCTTCGTATAGTCCTCATATAACGGTACCTCGCGATATTCGGTACTTTGATGATTTTAACGACATTTTTCACTGAAATTGTTTCAAATTTAGTATTTAAATTTCGTAATGAATACCTCAGCCTAAGACAGAAAATTGTCTATGCAGGTCCACGTCTTCATATAGCCCCCATATAACGGTATTTTTAGCTTCATATGATTTAAGCTTCATATTCGCCCATTGGTTTTTCAAGTTCCACATTTGAATATTCTACTGGTTTTTGACATAAGTTGTAGGTACAGGTCCACGTCGTCGTATAGAGCCTAATGTAACGGCTACATTCGGTATTTGTAAGATTTTAACGTAATTTTAAAGGGATTTTATTTTTTGAAAATTGCCAAATTCATCCCAAATGTCCTTCATTCAAAGATCGGCCCGGCCGAACTTACAGCTTTTTTACTTGTATTGTTTTGAAAATTGCCAAATTCCTTCTAAATGGTAAAGGTTAACCAAAGTTCGATCCGGCCGAACTTACAGGCTTTTTACTTGTCTTTTATTTTATTTTATTATTTTTTTTTTTTTGAGAATCTGATCAAAAATTATGGATTTTTTGAGAATCTTTTAATCGAAAATCTCGAATTTCTTAATATTTTTATGGGTTTAATGACAGAAAATTGTTATTTTTTAAAAATTTCTAAATGGCCCCCTGACAAAAATGGGTGGATTTTTAGGAGCCAGATTTTCAAAGGCTTTTTGACTTCGACTTTTTGAAAATATTTCCTACAAGACATTCCTAAATATTTTTAAACATTTTGTGTCTCTTTTCTCATAAAATCAGGGATTTTAATTTTTTCCTTAAACCATGTACCACCCCACTTCTCCAAAACATAACAAAAATAACTCAGAATTTAATTTAAAACCATAAAGAATTTGTTTGTGCAACAACGACGACGACGATTCTGATGATGATTACAAATTCCGTAATTAACAGAAATATTTAACATATTTGCAATTTTTCACAAACCCTCTTCCATTTTTTTTCTCTAGGCCTCTGTCCATCGTACAAGGCATGCTGGTATGAAACGAAATGATGCTGGCCCGGTCAACAATACAGCATCACCGGCTACTAACGGAACTACAGCCGCCATTGTACATGCATCGGGGAATACAATGGCAGTCGGTGGTGGTACGACTAGACCGACATATCAACAGTATCAACAGCAAAGAAGAATGCAATTTCAACAGCAGCAGCAACAACAACAACACCACCAGCATCAACAAAAACAAATGCATTTCCAACAACCCTACTACAGTGTAAACATTGCGAATTTGCCAAAGACCAAATGTGCAACGAATTTTGCCACACAACAACAGCCAGCGAGTGGTGGGGGTGGTGGCGGCATAGTCTATGAGGTACAACATCAGCAACAACAACAGGCTCAGTATTTGTCTTCTTCTTCGCCCGGCCATCAACGTCTAAACAATGGTCAACAACCATCAAAAGCCCTAAATTCCCAGGCAATGAGCCGCATACCAATTCAACATCAAAAGATGCAACCACAACTGCAGCAGCAGCAGCAACAACATCCACATCCACATCACCATCAAAACCAACATCATCAGCAGCAACAACAACTTCAGACAGCATCAGCAGGATTCAATCACATTTCAAAGAATGCCACAAATCTCCTGAATGATATCTACGAGCGTAACTTGTTGAGCCAAACAACATTTGCCGGGGAAACTGAACAACAACAGCAGCAACAATTTTTAATGCAACAACAACAACAGCAATTTCTGCAAATGCAAAGAAATGCAGCCAGGCCTCAGATACCCCTACCACCCATGGCAAATGGAGCACAAAATTGGCCGCAAAAGCCTCGAGAATTAAAGACATTTAATAAAATTATTGCACCTCCCACGTCGGGCGCCACCTCTTCCTCGGCCAATTATCAGTCAACCCATTTTCAATTTTCCGATTCCTATGTGGAACCCGTTGATACCAAGAAACATTTTCTCATGGAATCTCAACCGCCACCACCTCCAGCCCCCCTAAATCATGTCTATGAGACCATCAAGGAAAGGCCACCCCTACCGCTGCCACCTCCACCACCGGAGCGTAATCAAAATGTAAATAACACACCACCACCCCTACCTCCCTCTAGATTGCTAAAGAAAAAACTACTGGCCCAGGCGGCTCAAGGTGCAAATGAAGGTACTGCGGGCCGGGGCCATAAATCTCACAAAAAGTCCAGCCATGACAAACTGGAGCTGGATAAGAAGTCACACCACAACAGCAAACTGGCACACAATCAGCCGCCGGCTTATGTGGCGCCACCGCCCTTAGCCTTGGCAGCCAATTCATCCGGCAGCAGTGCTAAAATGCCAGCTCCCTATAATCCCCAGCAAAGGACCAAAGCCGATGGAGAACAAAAATCCATGTTGTATCAGCAGTTGAGAGAACAAAAACTGCAACACCAACAAAAGTTAATGCCATCATCATCAGCGGCGGAAAGTGCAGGAAATGGCGGAGGCAGCGGCGGCGGCCAGCATTTAAGTAATAACATGCAAAAACATAACGCTGACAAGCAACCAGCAGCTCCTGCAATGCGTGAACATCCTTTGGGTGCCCATGATGAAGGCGTCACAACTGGTCACCTCGTAAACAATAACATGGCTGCCACCCAACCGGCAGTCATGGCCCCCGGCGAAACAATCACAAATGACATAATAGACATGGCAACTACCGAATACCAGCAGCAGGATGCTGTCATGCAACAACTGTCCGTGGAGCAGGCTTTGCATCAGGCAGGTCTACTGCCCAATTCGACTAGCAACAATAATAATTCATCTGCAGCAGCAGGAGCGTCATCAGCCACTGCCTGCAACAACAATAACAATGGACGCAACCAACGACCCTCCGCCCTGCCCATTGTTTTCGAAGAGGACACCGGCGAATTTCAGGATGTGCTCGTACTCGAAGAGGATGGCACCGCCAAATTACCCTATCGTCATGGCAAGAAAATCGAAGTTAGCCTGGAAACGGCTCAGGCCATGGCAGCAGCAGCCTATTATGCCAGGTAAGTGCCGCCGTTTAGATGAGCGGGTGTAACAAATTTGATAATTCCTGTCAGAAGAATAAGGGAAGTTTAATTAGATTTTTTGTCGATGGTGCCGAATAAAAGGGGAGCAACATAAAAAGCAAACCAAGCATTTCACTTGGGTAGTGAAAGTAATTTTTTCCTGAAAACAACATAGCCGACAAAGGGGATCCAAGAGAGAGGGGGAGCTATCTTAATTAAGTGCAGTGTTGCCATTGTCTTCTTTGTGCAACGCCTGTTGTGCTCAATGCCGTAAGCATTGCATTCTTTTTTGGTTGATGTAGCATCTTTGCATCTTTGAATACAGATTAGTTGCCTATTTGCAGGGCATTGTTAGAGCGTAACAAAAAGTACTAATTTTCCAGTTCTGGTCTTTTATTGTGACAAACAAAAGCAATTTCGTATGCAGGATGTGTTGCTCCTCTGCAATTGATGAATGTCATTAAGGAGGATTTGGCTAAGCGGTATTTAGAATTTTAAGTGGGGGATTTAGAGAGGGGGAAATTTTGTGGAACAGCAAAGAGAGGCTCGAAAGTATGAAATTGGAGTTTTTTGGGAAAAAGGAGAAAGAGATGTTTAATACGAAGCAGATATCTTTAATATTTTATTTTGAATCAATACAAAATGTGGGAGAACAAGTAAACAAAGTATCAGTCGGTTTTGCCAACATGTGAAATATGAAGAGAATCGGATTTTATGATCGTTTAGTTATTCCAAACTTTGACCCTTTGTGGGGGTGGTACAAGAAGGAATTGTCCGATCTCTACAATCTTTATAACAGGCCTTGGGTTGATTGAAATATTGAGATGTACCAAGTCTTAATGGAATTGGATGTTATTTTCTCATTTTTCGAGCTTAATAGAGTTGGCTGCTCATTTCGCTTTCATTGAGTGTTTTGTTTTTCAAACTCTTGAACCCTATGTGGGGATACCAGAAGGAATGGTTCGGTCTGTACTACAGATCTACTGTTGGAAGACATTTTGCGATGTGCCTATTCTGAATTGAATCGAATGTTAGTATCGCATTTTATGAGCTTATTCAAAAATGTTTGTTTGTAGGGGTTTTACCTTAAGGAGCGGGCCGATATTATCCATTTTCGGAAGATCGGATTATATCTCTTCCTGTGCAGTGAAATATTCATTTTTTGTTTTGAAAATTTCGACATTTTGTGTGGGAATTACCAGAAGGAGTGGACCCTCCCCCATAGCATAGAGGGTATATTAAGCGATGTCCGTCCGTCCGTCTATCCGTCTGTGGAAATCGTTCTAGCTGAAGTAGATTGATAAAATTTTACTCAAATGATTATTATGTCTGCAAGACTTTTGGTATTGGAAATGGGCCATGTAGGTTCATGTTTTGGTATAGCCCCCATATAATGGTACCTCCCTTTTTTCGGTATTTTAGTCATTTAAGCGAGGTTATTCACCGGAAATGTTTCAAATTTGGTATTTGAAGTTCGTAATTTTAGCGACATTATTCACCGGAATTTTTTAAAATTTCGTATTTGAAGTTCATAATGGGTATTACAGCCTATGAATAAAATTTTTGTATGCAGGTCCAAGCCTTCGTATAACCCCCATATAACGGTACCTCCCGATATTCGGAATTTTTTGATGATTTTTGCGACATTATTCACCGAAATTATTTCAAATTTCGTACTGGAAGATCCTAAAGGGTACTACAACCTATGGCAACAAATTTTGTATGCAGATTCAGATCTTCGTATAGCCCCCATATAACGGTACCTCCCGATATTCGGTATATTCTCGAATTTAGCGACATTATTTACCGTAATTATTTTTCGTATTTGAAGTTCGTAATGGGTACTAAAGCCTATGACAAAATGTTGTATGTGCAGGTCTACGTCTTCGTATTGTCCCCATATAAAGGTACCTCCCGATAGTCGGTATTTTGTCAATTTTGGCGACATTATTCACCGGAATCGTTTCAATTTTCGTATTGAAAGCTCTTAATGGGTTCTACAACTTATGGTAAAAAAATCGTATGCAGGTCCACGTCTTCGTATAGTCATATGGAGGATATGACGGTACCTCTCGATACTCCGTATTTTTATGATTTTTGCGACATTATTCCCCGGAATTGTAACAAATTTCGTATTTGAAGTTCGTAATGAGCACTTCAGTCTATGACAAAAAAATTCGTATGCAGGTCTACGTCTTCGTATAGTCCCCATATAACGGTTTTCATTTAAGTGGTAGTTTTCGGGACTTTTTTTTTGAAAATTTTCAATTTTCTTCGAAATGGTGGAGGGTGTTAAAAGTTCGGCCCGGTCGAACTTAGCTGCATTTTTACTTGTTTTGTGCCAACTTTGATTTCCAAAATACTCCAGACACAATTGTCCAACAGATTGGTATTTGGAGATTTTGGTGGTCATTATGCGCTGGAAATGAAGCGAGGAACCTCATTTTGTAACCATTCTTGGATGACGCGTGCTGAGTGCGATAGTGCTTAGTCCTGTTTGAATGTCCAAGGTCTGCAGCCAAAATGTTTGCGTGGTCAAGGCTTTAATACACCCTCCAGAATCTTTTCGCGATAACATTCAGTATTTAGCATTTTTGATGTCACGGTCGATTAATACGAGCGGAGAGCGACCATCGGCTGTAATGGCGGCCTACATCATCACCATGGCAGGCGCTTGAGTTCTGATGGACAACCGAAGTTGCACATTTTCAGCTGACCTCTTTGGCAAGTAAACACGATCATTTTGTTTGTTTACAAACTGCTGGACAACGAATGTTTTGTCATCGGAGAAAACCGAAACCAAATTCGGCAGTTCACCACTTTCGGCCAAGCGAAGCAACTCTTTAGCTTTTTCAAGTCTATTTTCGTTCTGTTGCGGTGTAAGTTATTGCACTTTTTAGAATTTCAATGGCCTTAGCCCGAGCTCATTTTTCAATACTTGCCGAATGGAATATTGCGATATGTTCAGTTCACGAGCCATTTTACGGCCACTGCGACGCGTGTTTCGATCAAGTCGCTTCGTTACTTTTCGAAACATTTCTGCTGATGTTGCTGTTTTGTTCCGTCCACTTCCTTGACGTAGGGCTACGCTACCAGTACCACGGTAACGAGACACAAAAGATTCATTCACATTTAAATGCTAGAGTGCTCTAACGACAGCCACTTTTGGTTTTCCAGCCACATATAAAGAAATCAGACACTATCACGCTTGAATTCCATCACGAATAACTTTTTTTCTGGAAAATTCTCACAAAAATGCTTTTGTACGCTTGTAACAATATAATGTCCTTTCACTGGAATAATTTTAACAGCTGTCGGACGAGTGGCTTAGAAATGACAGCAGTCTGAAGTTGATTGCAGTTTTTTTTTCACCCACACCAAACAAAGACCAAGACCAACCAAAATGCTTTAATTACAACTATTTTCTTCAGAGAGCCTTGCCACAACAGTCGAAATTCCGATAATGTTCGGGAGAGGCCAATTATTTAATAACCTTTAGCTGCTTTTTTTTCAAATGAATTTCATTTTTGCTTTGGTATATTTATCGAAGAAGGTATTAGGAATCATAATAATCTCCCCTTCATTAAAACTATCTTATTCCAAAGCAAGAACACCAACCAAATAATAAACTCCTAATAATAAAACCGTACCAAATTTCCAATACATCTACCATAAATTCCATGACGAATTTTTATTTGGTAACACAACATTGAACTTTAGCTCGACAAAAATGGAAACTAATAAATGAAACATTTCGGGAATGGTGATGCATTCATGATGCTACTGCTTCACTTGATAATGATGGCACGCAACAAAATTTTAGGCTACATTTACAAAATAAACCATTAACAAACAACGACGATGACGACGAGGACGGCGACAAATCCTCTACTCTTGAAAATTTTCCATCAAACTAGCCTAGGACGGAAGAAGAGGGACTGGCAGGCATCTTAAGTGGCAGGAAAACTCATAACTTCAACATCATTAACTTGTCCATAATTCCAACCAAAGCATTGGTGGTGGTCTGTCTAATTCTCAATGGATGGATGGTTGTTTGGATGGAATTGGAGGCCAGCAGAAGCAAGATTGGGGAGCAAGCGATGGCTTTTGAGGCCTTAACACGCAAATTTGATGAAAACTCATTTGACTTGGGTGGAATCTTTCCTTTTGCGATATGCATTGTAAAATAGGCCATCATAGAACACCAAACGGCCAACCAACTCATCATCATCATCTTAGCATGGTTTGGTGTGATGCTATTGCTGTTGTTTCTTCTTCTGTAAATCATGTTGTCAACAGACACTTTTCACACTTCACAGTTCGTTGAAGCAGTGCCAAAGCCGTTCCCCATGAAAATGATGAATTCAATGAGTTGAAATGAAATGATGATGAATGCTACAACTATGACGTTTCGCCACCACAAGGATATGGATGAGTAAATCTACGAAAGACGGAGAGAAGCGAATAAGAAATCCCTTAAAGAAGATGGCAAAAATTGAAAAAATTTAATTAATAATTTTGACAGACTGGGGTTTTCATATTTCGAAGAAGATATCGTATTCATTATATCAAGTTGAAAATGTAAGGATCGAAATATGAACACTTGAACACTACTTTTTTCTTTGAAGAATTCTTCATAAAAGCGATTCTATAGAATTTTAAATTCAATAAAATTTTCTTAAGCATAAACTTTATTGAATGAGTATTCTTCTCGGATTTCTTGAGAGTAACAAATAGTGCCCTGGGATCAGATTTTTAATAATCCTTTACAATCGAAAAAAAAAAAATTATCATAAAATTTACCAGATCAAGACTTTGAAAGATGTTGGAAAAATATTAAAATCTACAAAAAACCACACAAAAAATTACTCCTTGAAGGAATTATTTTTTTTTAATATTGCTCAAAATCCAAAATATAATTGTTCGCAGTCTTTCAGTCGTTTGTAAAATAAACGATTGTTCAGCTGAAAATACTTGAATAAATATTCTAAAAGAAA